CCCCCCCCCCCCTTTAGCCCAACCCACGAAAAAGAGAGGGGGGGCGGGGGGCGCCCACACACACACACAGCACACACACACAACACACGGGCGCGCGCGCGCGCGCGCGCGCGCACGCACGCACACACACACACACACCGCTCACCCACGCGCACTGGCCCGTGCACTCCCGAAGCCGTGGGGCCCCCGTCGTCTAGACGTGGAGTCGCGAGGGCCCCTGCGTGTGTGGAGACGCTGACCTTGCCTCGCCGCCTTGCCAAGGCGGCGGCACTCCTCGCCGCATCGCTCGACGCGGCGCTCCGCTTGGGCGGCGCGCGCGCCTGCCTCCACTCTGTCGTGATGAGCGCCGCTGCCTTGCCCGAGTGGGACGCCGTCCGCGACGCCCCCCTCTCGCGCGCCCTGTCGGCGTCGGTGCTCGCCCACCTCGGCCTCCTCGACCTCCTCCTCGCCGTCGAGCGGGCGCGCGGCGGGGGCGGGCAGGCGGCCGCGCCGCGCTGGTGCCCCCGCAGTGGCGCGCCGATGCCGGGCGAGGTCACTCCTATGGCGCTGGGGGAGGACATGTCGGTTGTACGCGCTCTACTCTGCGAGTAGGCGGCCGCGCCGGCGCCTCTCTACAGACGGCCCGGGGTTGTGTCGAGAGGAGCCGAGAGACAACCCGACTTAGGCGCCGTGCTGATGGTCTCTTCGGGCGCCGCCAGGCTGGCGACACGCGCCGGCCTCGCGGACTTGCTGCGCGGCAAGCCGTACTCCTCTGTGTCTGGCGACCGCCCGCCCGCGACGATGGACGCGGCGGCAGCTGCCTACTTTGGCGCCGCGACGAGCGGGCAAGCCTACGCGGCCACCAAGCTGCTGCAAGGTGCCTTGGCCGCGCCCCCCACCCCGCGGTACCCGAACCCTCCCTCCCCTACCCCGCGGTACCCGAACCCGCCCTCCCCTACCACACGGTACCCGAACCCGCCCTCCCCTACCCCACGGTACCCGAACCCACCCTCCCCTACCCCACGGTACCCGAACCCACCCTCCCCTACCCCACGGTACCCGAACCCGGCCCCCCCGCCGCGCCCCCCCTACCCCCGCCCCCTCGCCCACACGGCGTATGCTCTAGTTCGGCCCGTCTCGTCGCGGGTAGGCCTCGTCGCAAGGGAGGCCGAGCGGCGTGCAGCCCTGCTCCGCTCGGAGTCGAGCTCAGAGGGCCGTGGCGTGGCGAGGCTGCTCGTCCTGGCGCCGGCCCCAGCCGGCACAGCGCTCACGCCCCTCTCCTCCGAGTTCGTCTCGTGGACGCGGCGGGGCGGCGCGCTGCCGGCGTCGAAGCTGCTGTCGCCGGCCGAGGCGGCGCGACCCGTCGCCGCCGCCGCGCTCGACCCGGCCGCCGCGCCGCCTCTGGAGCGGTCCGGCGGCCCGCTCGCGCCGTGGGCCCGCGGTCCGTGCGACGCGTGGTATGCGTGGGTGCACCTGATGGGGTTGCTGCTGCCAAAGGGGGAGTCGGTCGCGCACACGCCGCAGCGGTGGGCGCCACCCGCCGGTTGCGAGAGCCGCGCCCCTGCGGGCTGGCCGTTGTCTGAATAGCCACTGCGGGTGGTGTGGAACATTCCTGCATTCGCCGTGGGTGTGGGGGGGGAGGGGGGGGGGGTTGGAGCGCTTGGAGTGCCTGGTCAGATTTCATCTTCTTTCGCTCACCATATTCGTCGAGGCGCGGTGTGTGTACACAGAATACTCACCACAACACACACACACGTGAGTCGACAGTCGTGACACCGGAGGCGCGCGTGGGCCGGAGGGTGGGCGCAGCAAAACTGGCCCCGCGAGTATATGGGCCAAAAGCGTCGAAAATGTCCCCAAAAGCGTGTCTCGCACCGCTCGCGTGTCGGCGGCACTCCCTGGCACCCAGTGAGTGCCGCGAACCGACCAGACCGAACGCACCGCTCGCGCGTTCGGCACACTCGGTGGACCCCACCGAGTGTGCCGAACCAGCTGGAGTGAGTAGGCTCGACGCCGCGCTTGCTGTGGGGCTGCCACAAGCTCGCCGCCGAGCGTGCCACCGAAGCGTCCCGTCGGAGGTGATGGAGTGTGAGACCTGAGGCTACGGAGGTGACGCCTGAGGTACCGGCCCGTGCACGGCGACTCAGCCGGGGACCGCCACGGGCTCAGACGAGACTTGTCGACGCGTTCCGGCTCAGCTTCACCGTGGTCCTCGGGCGTCTGTCGACGTCAGGACCACCCATACAGCTCGCGGGTTTGAGGTCGCAAGAGCCAAGATGGTGGCGTTTGGACATCCCAACCATCACACAAGACAGCCTGTAGGTGATGGCGGGACGGCGCAGTGTTTGTGGCACTCGGCAGTAGGCACCCGCGGCACGGCCCCGCTGTCGGCTCTCGCGGGCTGCGGAACCGGCCACAGAAGGGGACGGTCCGGGCGAGTGTGGCAGCTCCTGCGCTAGTATGGGCACCCTCTATTATAGCACTACTGATCCTGGTCATTAGAGCTGCCAGGAATAGCGTCAGGAGCCGGTAAGAGTCAAAACCCCTCATATTTGAGACATCGTGTCCCATATACTCGCACAACGAGCCCGGTAGGCGGTAGGTGAAGAACAGAGTCAGGCTCGTGGACTTGACACCAGCGCATCCTCGACACATCCCTGACGAAGACAGGTTCTGCGTCGGGGAAGAGCGAACCTAGCATTTCTACTGTGTTGATGTCTTTTGGCCGCGATGGGACACTGCGGTGTTGCGTCGAGCCCAGGCGCAAAGTGTTTTTTTTTTTCTTGCATATGCAACAAAAGTAAAATAAAATCCCGTCACGGCCAAACAGACGGCGTACGGGGCGGCGGGTGCCAAGACTGCGCACACAGCATCATGCCGGTACAGCACACCACACAGCCTTTCGCCCACAGCCGCCCCGTGGTGACCCGCCCGGGCCCATTCCGGAATCGTCCACGTGTCTGATGAAACGAACATCGGCAAAAACTTCGTTTCACGATCTCACAAGCGCCCCGCCCGGCCCTCCGCGCGATGAACAACGGCCTGTCGACCGCGAGGGCGCTGTCAGGCACCTTCGCCACCACGTCCTACATCTCTATCGGCGACCCCTACGTCAAGAAGGGCGCCGTCGATGACCGCGAGAAGGGGAAGCAAATGTCGGCCGACTACCCCAAGCTCGGCATGTCCGGCTCCCTCCAGCCGTCCGCCCTCTTCACAAAGGAGCACCGACCCCTGTTTGCCGGCCGCGAGAAGTACGTCGACAGGACGATGTACCTCACGACGCAGCCGCCCGACACGCGCAAGAGGGGCTTTGGCTCGTCGGACGCCAAGCGGCGCGACGAGTTCTCCAACGACATCGAGGTCTCAAAGATGCGCGAGCGGATCAAGCAGGACATGGAGTTTGCAGAGAAGTTTGCGCGGCACCAGGAGGAGAACATGAGCCCAGAGGACCGGGAGATGATGGAGCGGCTCTCGCAGCCGCCGCCGCGACGGTGGTCGCACGGCCCGGAATTCATGTTTGACCTGGGCAAGGAGGTGACGGGCGGCACCACGCCGTATGAGACGAAGGACGCGCGCGACACATGGTACTCGAGGCAGCGGGTCAAGCGCGAGACGGACGGGCAGCAGCACCTGGGCGACTATGTCACGAGCTCCTTCGTCGTCGGCAACAACCTGAAGGACTACAAGGCGTGGAGCAAGCCACAGTATGCCCGGCAGCCTACCATCCGCGACAGCTTCTACCGATCCACGGGGGTGCTGCGCGGCTAGAGGGCATCGCCTGCTGGAAGTGAAGGTCTAGAGTGTCGCTCGTTGTCGGCGAGTCGCGACGAGGCGTGGGGGCACGCGCACACCGCACACAACACACATGCACATGCACATGCACATGCACATGCACATGTGCATGTTGTGTGTTGTAGAGTGAAACCACCAGTGTCGCCCAATGCGCGTCTTCTCGTAGAAAAAGGAGACTCAAGTACACTGAGCGGTCCGGCCGCCCACAGATTGGTGTATGAGCCTATGATGTGTGTGCCCCGCTAGAGCTACGCGCCCGTGTGTGTACACGGACCGCCGGAGGACGGCAGACAGAGAGGGGGGGCGGGAGGTACTGGACCGGAGGACCTATTATGCCACACGCGGCCACACGAACGAGTGGGTGCGAGGACGGCTCGGCGAGGGGCTCACGGCGGGGTCGCACACGGCAGGGGTCACGGGGCCGCTGTGGAGCGACGTGGTCAGGGGGACGACGAGACACAAATGGGACAAGCGCCAGCGGATCAAGGATCAGCACGGCGAGCGCGAGATTGAATTCGCCGACGTGGATGATCACAACGTGGTGACAAAGACCGTCATGGGAGCGCGGGTGCGGCAGCAGGCGGGGGTGCCACACGGAACGCACCACGAGAGGATCATGCGGGGAGAGGCGGGGAGAGAGACCCCGGGCGCCGCCACGAGGAGCGAACTCAGGGGCTGCCTCGTCTGTAAGGCCGCGAGGGACGCGGCGAGGAGGGCAGCACTAAAGCGGGACCCGCTGTGTCCGATCGTGCGGAAAGCCGCGCAGCAATGGACCGAGGAAGATGAGAACCCGCCTAGAGCGACAATGGCGCACGTGCTTAGCGGCGCCTGCCTGGGGAATAGGGAGCAGGCCAGATGGTTCCTCAGAGTAGCGCGAGCGCAGACAGGGACGGCGATCAGCAAAGTGGCACAGGCGGCACCCGACTCCAAGGAGACGCTGAAGACGCTGAGGATGGCGCATGTCGCTGCGCTGAAGGGCTCACGCTACAGGGTGCTGGATGAGGACGGGTACGATACACTGGCCCCCGCAGTCGGGGGGGTGTTGCCAGCACTGGTAGATGACCTCTCGGAGAAGAGCCGAAGGGACCTTGGCACCGGGGTCACGAGGAACTTGCAAGTCGTGGCCGAGGCGGCGACGGGAGCGGTGCAGAGGTGGATACAGCTCAATGATGAAGCAACGGCGCGCATAATGAAGAGAGAGGAACACATCGAGTGGCTGAGGAAGCTCTTCGCTGGGTGGAAGGAGGCCCGCCCGGTCTTGAGGGAGTCGCGGAGGAGGAGGGATAACGGAGGCAACGTGCAGACAGGCCAACAGCCAGTGGGACGAACGAGGGCCGCGACGGCGGCTCAAGCGGGAGGGAGCGGAGACGGTGGGCAGAGAGCGAAGTGGGTGAGACTGATGATGCTCCTTCGACTTCGGGAGCGGTTCCGCTGCTGGGCGAGCTTCAGGGTGGTGCTCACGCGAAAAGGAATCGACGCGATGTACAAAGCATACAAGAAGAGGAGAAAGAAGAGGAGAGGCGCCAGTGATGACGAAACAGAAGCTAGTGCAGACGAGGGCAGGGCAGACCCGGGGACGGCGGAGGCGGACCAGGCGGCATCGACCGCCGAGGGAACGTTGGGAAGAGGCACGAGGAGGGCGGCGACCTCGACCGACTACGGAGGACCCGTCACCAGACGACGCAGGGCAGACGACGGTGAGGCGGAGCAGGCGCGCAGGGCGAGACGAGGGAGGGAGCAGGACGTTGCGGAGATCAGCAGGAGGATGTACGAAGAGATTAGGAGCAGCAGGGACCCGAGGGACCATGTGGAAGACGGCTAGTGCTAGTCCCCCATCGGGAGGACGACCCCGGCTAGTCGCCGACCACACCCACAAAGAACCCTGCACAAAGATCGCAAGGGCGGGGACCTGTTCCTTTTTACCCATCTCCTAGTAGAGGTGTCCGTTTTATTTATTTATTTATTGGTAATCGATTTGCAAAAATGCTAAATGGGCAAATTACACATAAAATCAAGCTTGTGTAACGCGCGCTGTGCCACTGTAAAATGGACGAACTAGCCTGTCACCGTACACCGACAGTTGGAGTTGCAGTTGGTGGGAATTGAATAGCTCCGCACACGACATGCTTGGTCAAGACAAGAACCACATGACGAACTAGTAGCACCCCCCCGCCCCGCCCCTGAACACACATCTGCTCCTCTCGACCACAGGAGGGGTACGACCAGGCCGAGATGGTAAAGCCCTAGCCCGAGGCTACTGCGCCTGCGCACTCCAACCCCAGCGCCCAGACCGAACACCCGCGCCGGGGTGGGCCCTCCGGCGGCTCGACGCTGCAAGCACGAGTCAGCCGCCGCAGTCGTCTTGGAAGAGGAGCGCGGCCCGCTAGTCGTAGACGTCAAAGCAGACCTGTCGCCTCTTCTTGGGCGCGTCGTAGTCCTTGACCACCGCCGCTGCCAGCGCGCCGCCGCCGTCTTCGCCCCCTGCCGCGGCGTTGGCCTGCTCCAGCGCACGCTTGCGCGCCTCGCTCTGCTGGTTGAGGCAGGCGGGGTTGAACATGATGTAGCGCGCGCTGCCGTACGAGAAGTCGTCGTCGGACTCGGTGCCTAAGACAAAAGAAAGCGGACTGCCCGGTGTGTGTCGCGTTCGTGAGCAGC